TCAAGACATAATCCCAGCCCTTGAGAAACTTAGACTTTAGTACAGGAAAATAAAAACCACACACACACACAAAGGCACATACATTAAGAGCTATGACATGAAGCAGAAAGTGGTAAGTACCCCGTGAGTGAGATAAACTACTGCAGCTTGACAGCATTGAGAGTCCTTGTATGCAGGGCTTTACTCTGCCAAGAGAACTATGCATGTAAGAATTAATAGCCAATTGAGGGATAAAGTCATGCTTTTATTAACAGCTGAGCCAGTGCCTGTTAATACTACCCTCTGGTCGGGGAGAAGAAAAACTGATCTCTGGGAGTGGTGTTGAAAAGCACAAGGCTTATGCTTCGAAGTTGAAGCAAACCTTGCTACTCTCAGCCTGTAACCCCTTAATCTGCAAAGCCAGTGCTAAATCTAGGTTTTGTTTTCTTTTTAATCAACTGTACAGACCCAAGATCTAAAACACACTTAAATAATGGTGGATTCATTCTGTAGGGAGATGACTTGCCTGTAACTAAATGAAAACAGAAAATTGAAAATCATCCACCTCACCTGAGGACAGGGAAAAAAATGTAGACAAGAGGATTGCCCACCCTAAGAAGATAAATAATTCCTTGTTCCACCACAGAATAGGAAGAGAATTCAGCCAAAGAAGCCCTAAATGTTCAAGGTTGCGTCCCCACAAATAGTGAATCATGGCCAGTGAATTTACCAAGCAGATGATAATGCCTTTTCTGTTAGAGGGAAACTAGACAAGGGAAAGAAGATTACGGAAAGGGAAGGCAAGTATCATTATATGAATGTGCTTTGCACAATAATTGTACCATAACGTGCTCCTCAAGTTAGCATTCTTTGAATCAAGTGTTTTCTTGTAAAACATAGAATATTTTACCCGTCAGTAGAAGACTGAATGCACCAATGGTACCACTATTTTCCATCTTCCTGTATCCATGTCATTTGGTGGACTCTTATTACTGACTTTTGGTCTTGAGCATGACATTTGTGTTAGCCAATGGGTCAATAGCAAACTTGATGCAAACAAAGACTTGAAAAAGTACTTGAATATTTCCAGCTTTTCCCTTGGGCTCCTCAATTGCCTGAGAACATGTCCAGACTATCCTGCTGGAGGATGAGACACACAGAGCAGAGCCAGTTACCCAGCCAAAGCCATCCTAGACCAACCAACAGCCAGAAGACCACTAGACATGTGATAGCCTTAGCCAAGACCATAACTGCCCAGCCAAGCACAGCCAAGATCAGCAAAACTCCCCAGGCAACCCACAGATTTATGAGGAATAATAAAAGGTTACTGTTTTAAGTCACTATGTTTGGGGGTTCTTTAATATGGAAATAGTTAATTGACATACCCCTCTTGGAGATTCCCATATATAACTACAATCTTCCAAACTTCTTTTACCATGGAGCATTTTAAGAGTATGATTCCACAGACAATACTCCAGGGAAACACTAGATTTTTTAAAAATGTAATAATAGAAATGCTCCATGGTGCCAATTTTAGAGATATAATAAAGAAAAGACAATGTGGATTTGATGACTGAATGTTTTGGGGAAGAAGAGGAAGTAAAACCAATAACATGTGTTTAAAATCCTAACCACTTGAGAGGACTGTGGTATTAATGACAGAATTAGGCAACTCAGGAAGAGTGGGTTTAAGGGAAAAAAGTTGTGATACAGTTTGAGATATCAAACCTGAAGGAAATGCACTACCTCCAGGAAGTGAGATCCTGCAAGCCTTAGAAAAGCACAAATGATGCCAAAGGAGAGGTTGGATTGTCCTGTAGATTCTAAATGGTGAACACCTGACCCATGAAAGGAGACCATGCAGAGGATGAGAATCAAGGGCTAATTAAGGCACCTCACATAGGTGTAATACAGGTGGCCATAATATGCAGAGACCAAAAGTGGGAAAATGACTTCTCAAGTCCAATAGCAGAGTTGAGTCTATAACTCAGACTTTTGATTTCTTGGTCACCTTACCACACTGCTCATGAGTCATTTAACCACTAATTAGATATTGGCTCACTGGAGGGCAGCCAACCAAGATAGTAACCTAATTGAAATCATATTGCATGAAGAACATTTAAAATCATTGAACTTGAAGAAAGGGAGGTAAAGTTGGTGGGTGTGGGGGAGGCTGAAAATTGCCTTTGGATATCTGAAAGGCTCTTGCATGTGGAAAACAGAAGAAGAAACAGTCACTGTTGCTCAGAGAATTATTCTGATGCCATGTGAAGCCATGGCCCCCTTCCCTAGGAGCAGTCCAGCAGAAGTGGTGTGGCCATCTGCCAAGGACATGCAGATGGATCAGGAATAGAGTGAGAGAGTGAATTAAAACACTCTCAAGTCTTATTCCAAATCTCTGATCCTACAGTCTACAAACAGATCCTTTCTAGTCTCCTTTTCTAGTTTTGACTATCTGCAATAAGTTGACCTGCTACCCTAAATCACCAAGGAAGTATAAAGAAGCCTTCAGATTTGCTCACCATGGTCAAAACCTATGAAAAGTGACTCAGAGACTACAAACTCAAAGACATGACTTCCGTGTCTCCAGTACTCCACAGTGACAAGCACATGGTGGGCATCTGTGTGCCATCTGACAACTGGGAAAAAGCTCAGCACCTCCTGAGTGGCTTCCCTTTGAAGTTGGGTTGGATCATTTTCTACCACCCTGAATAAAAGCATTTCAGTTGAGCTCCAATCTCCAAACATTAGAAATGTATACAAAGGGATGGGGTTTTCAAGCAAGGTTCATTTCTCCTTGATCTCTTCCTCAATGTCTTCACATGTCTGATAGAACTCAGCAAACACTGTATTATAAAATCCAGGTGAAGCCACCTGGGTTTCAGGATATAATTTGAAGCCTGGATACTGCATGCAGGCAAAGGAATAGAAATAAAGTTAACACACAAAGCCTACTACATGAAAAACATGAAAAATGTTCAAGCCTTATCATCGCATTCAGATAGGAAAGTGTTTGCTGCCTCTAGCCGTTTAGAACATCTTTCAAAAGTAATCTGTACTCATCTCAAATACCCATCTTAGCAATGAATACTAAGGAAAATACATGGTTTAAGCATATTTTCTTCATTTGACATGAATGTGTTTTCACCAACACTTGAGAGCTTGGATTGCTGGAACCAAACAACCTAGGTTCAAATCCCAGATTTGTTTCCTACCTTCTGTGTGATGTTGAGCTGGTCCCTTAACCTCTCTGTATTTCACATTCTCCATTGGTAAAATAAGGATAATGTTGTATCTACTTCATAGGCTTGTTGACAGCATATGATGGGTTTGTACATTTATAGAGCACTAAAATAGTGCCTAGTACATAGTTAATGCTCAATGAATATTTGTAATTATTGTTACTGTTGCTTTGAAATCACAGAAGGATAAAAGGGTTTGACTCATTTTTAAAAGGTTTGTGGAATGAAGCAAGCTGCATTTCTAGTGGAAATGCTCCAAATACCTGAAGAGGAAACAAAGTGTATGAACTAGGACCTTCTGTACCTCTGTTCTGAGCAGTTCAAAGCCAGTAGGAAAAAAGCATGTGGCCTCAGTGAATGGTAGTTAGTAGGAAAATTAGCTCTTGGTCAGCATTAACAAGACATTTACTCTATTTCCACTGAGAAGCAGCCTGGAACAGTCAAAGTCAGAACACACAGTAAAGCAAACATTTAGGCAAGTGGAGTTTATAGTAGTAAATGCTATGGAGAGTATTTAACTTGTATTAATAACTTGGAGTTTATAATTTCCTTTACGCTCTGCTTTGAAGGTTGTTCATGAAAATCTAATAGTAACTCATTGGATAATTTTCTTAATAAATGCATACATTTTTAAAAGATGGAGGGTAAATTTTGTTTTTGTTTTCAATATCTATTTCTCTCACTAATCTTTCCATGATTTTCAGTTTACTTAGCCTATTAGCACACAATTTATAAAGCTCAAATTTGTACAAGTACTCACAACTGGCATTTAGCTGGATCATCTTTGGAAGGGCAAGAAAGTAGGGATTTATGGTTAACATAAAAATAGCTATCAAAAGGCAAAAAGTTTCAGTTATATATGATGAATAAGTCCTAGATATTTATCATACAGCATAGTATCTATAGTTAACAACTTACTGTATGCTTAAACATTTGCTAAGAGAATAGATATTATATTAAGTGTTCTTATGACAAAATAATAATAATAATAAATAAGGAGGGAGAAAAATTTTGGGGGGGCAGATGGATATATAGGTGGCATTGATTGTGGTTTCACTGGTGTATATTTATCTCCAAACTCATCGAGTTGTATATATTAAATATGTATAGCATGTTGTATGCCATTATACCTCAATATGGTGTTCTATAAAACAGCTATCATTTGTTGAGCATTTATTATTGGGTTGGGACCTTTTCTCCATTCTTTAATTTAATATTTTACTTAATAGTCCAAGAAGCTTTCAAAGTGCTTATATTAGAGCAACTGACACTAGCTAACGCTGACAAATGTATCCCAAAACTCCATGGAGAGACACAATGTAAGTGTGTATACTATTCAGGAAGATTCAATGCAGGCCAAGCAACTGTCCTAGGCAGCAGACCACTGAGGGATCCCCCAGGGTTCAGCCTTCCTTCTATTACTGGGCTCCACCTCTTCTGAGTCATTTGCTTCCAGCCACATGGAGAGAAGAGGGAGAAAGAATGTGGAGTAGACACATCAGCTCTTGATTACCTCAGCCCAGAAGTACCCACGCCATGACGTCTGCTCACGTCCCATTGACCAAAAATCAATCATACAGTCAACCACAATGCAAAGGAGGCTGGGAAATGTAGAGGAATACGTAAGCAATGGTAAGCAACAAAAGTATCTGCCATAGTTTACTCCCTGGTTACCAAGAATCAATGTCCTCTCCTCTTTCCAAACACAGAACATACCTACTGCCCCCGCCACTGCCCCCACTCCACCCCCCCAAGAGTAAGCAACCTCTAATCCCACCTGCTCACTGTATTCAGCACCTCCGAGGTGATCTGGACTTCTGGGGCATGTGGAGTTATCTGCATAACTCTGGGTGTGGCCATCTCTTGATCCAGTGACCTGTGAACTAGAAAGGAAGTGATCTATGAATGAAACATAAAAGTTCTCTCTCTCTCATACACACACACACACACACACACACACACACACACACACACACTGTGTTAATCCGTTTTCATGCTGCTGATAAAGACATACCCAAGGCTGGGTGACTTTTAAGGAAAAAGAAGTTTAATGGATCCACGGTTCCACATGACTGGGGAGGCTTCACAATCATGGTGGAAGGCAAAAGGCATGTCTTACATGGCAGCAGACAAGACAGAATGAGAATCAAGTGAAACAGAGAAAAAAAAAAAAGAAAAAAAAAAACAGAAACAAAAATAAAAAGAGAATCAAGCAAAAGGGGTTTCCCCTTACAAAACCATCAGATCTCATGAGACTTATTCACTACCATGAGAACAGTATGGGAGAACCACTCCTATGATTCAATTATCTCCCACCTGGTCCCTTCCACAACATGTGGGGTTTGTGGGAACTACAATTCAAGATGAGATTTGGTTACAAACCATATCTATCTCTCTCTCTCTCTCTCTCTCTCTCACACACACACACATACACACACACACACACACACACACACACACACAATGTAATAGCAATAAGAGAACCATAACATAAAATCTAATTTGGAAAAGGGAAGAATGGGAAACACATAGCAGCCACTGATGCCCAGGCTGGCCAGGCCAACATCGTAAAGGCTCACTGCCTTGTGGGTGGAGTTGGTTCTTGGCTGTGGTTCTGCTCTCCAGGGAATATTACTTTGTCCACCAAAGGAGTATTTCTCTGTGGCCACCAGTTCTTCCTTCTGAGAGGCTCCCCTTGCCCATTCTCCTTGGCCACGTCAGAGGTGGGTTTCGGGGAGCTTTCCCTCCATGCAGGCCTATAGCCAGCCTTGCCTGCCAGTGGGAGAAGTTGTTTCCAACCTTTAGAGACATTTGTAGTACAGGATTACAGGCTTTTTTGTTTTTAGCAATATACGTCCCTCAAAAAATTGGTAGGCTACTACAAGTCATCAAATGTAGGTACTCTTTCCCGATTCCCTCTTATTTCTATTTATAAATTAGCTATTTCTTTCCTGAGTTCATCTCATTCTTGAAACACTGCCAAATGCACTCAAAAGTACCCAACCCACACAACTAACATTCTCTCCCCATCCTTTTCCTTTAGAGCTACACAGTTACTTAGCATATATTGCCTTACAAACTGTCATGTGTGTCAGTTTCACCAAATGTTTAGCTACTGCAAAACATGGAACTTCATCTTTCCAACCTTTGATATCAGTTCCCTTGACACTCAACAATGAGGCCAATGCTGCCATGTTTAGGTTTTTGTCAGAGCAGCATCCCATGCCTATTATCAGTTTTGAAATGGGTCAGGAAAAGCTAGGCTAGTTGCTGTCATGAACATCCCTAAATCTCAGTGACTCCTCAATAGGTCTTGCTAAGTACCGGATGCGCAGCAAAGTGCTTAATTCATATTTGTTGTATACAATTATGTGAATAGGTTGTTTTTACTTATTGGCATTTAATCTATCTCAACTAAGGAAACCAAAGTTCAAAGAAAGTAATACATCCAAGGTCATGTAACTGGAATGTGGTAAATCTAGGATCTGAGTTCAGGTCTATGACACTACACGTGCTGGTGCCTGCAAATCTCTCCTCAGTGGAAGTTAGAGTGAAAATAGACTCCATCTTTTCTCTGCATTCACAGCAAATAACACCTAAAACTTGAACGTTTCCTTGTAGTTTTCAATCCTTTCTTTGCACTATTAAAATCAGAGGTATTATCCTCTGCCCATTGCATAATAGTTATTTTAGGTGACTCAGAAAACATAGCGGAAAAGAAGCTATAGTTTTTGAAATAATGAATGAGGTTTGTTTCCTGAAACTTGTTTGCATAACTTTGCACGGTGAACATATTTAATAGATTATGCCCATGTCAATATTTCTATTATCTACTAATTGGTCTGTTTATTTAACTGATGTTTTCAATTCATTTAGGAAACTTTAATACATCATAACTATTCATTAATGTATGCCTGGCAAAGGTATGTATTGTCTTATGTTTACTTCTATACAAGCTTTGACATATTAACCATCTCTAATGGGAACATGTACGCAAACCAAAATTGTCAAAACTGTTGGTTGGTGTGAACATATGCAATACTTTATTTATTCAGTATTTTTTGAGCACCTGTTATCTATCAGGTACTAAGTAAGATCTGTTTTGAGATATACTATCAAATATTTTTCATATCACCATTTTCAGTTGATCACACTGTAAGTTGGCTATAATTTGAATTCACAAATGCTCGTGTGTGTGTGTGTGTGTGTGTGTGTGTGTGTGTGTGTGTGTGTTTTAGTGGCAGTTGATGGAAAGCAGTAAAAATAATAACATTTGTAACACTGGTTACAGATCAAAATGTCAGAAGATTTATTCAGCCACAGACAGACACTGCAAAGTAAGTGTCTTCTCTAGTTCATGATTCGTATGTAAGATAAAGTTTAAAATAAGACCAATGCAAACATCGTTTTAGGCAGTTTTCCCTTTTGTGAAAAAAAATCGCATATAATAATTAAGATTTTTCATGCAGATAAATTAGGCACAAATTGCATGGAAATAATTCTGTTAGCAAAAGTGATGTTTAAACATAATTTCACCGGCATCATTTTTCCATAAGTTGGGGCATAAACTTTCCTGTGTACTCTTTTTGCTTCCAGTGACATGATACTATTTGGTCTTTAGGCATCACTTTAAAAGGCAGAGCAACTAGAAGTAACATGGTAACAAGAGCAATGGATAAAAGAGAGAAAGAGAACTGTTTAGATACCTGAGACCCCTGCTTTTCATTTGCCTCAGTCTGGGGATTGCAGAAGAACACTACCCACTCCTACTTGTTCTTAACTAGTGTATATATTAAGCTCTTTGAAATGTGAGTATTATGGGAAGGATCGCAGTTGCTTTAAATTATAGAAGTTGGCAAGTGCCTGGGAGAAGGAGTGGGAGGTTGTTTAAACTGAGAAAGACAGTTGCAAAACTTCGTACAACAGCATGAGCTCCAAGCTTCAAATGCATTCTCATGCTCAGACGAGCACTTTATTTTTCATCAACTTATTTTTTGCGTTGTTTTGGAGCAGCTTCGAATAATAAACACATATTTCTGCTTTAAATTTTTAATGGTGACTACATTCATGGGACAACCAAAGCAAGAAAGCCTCATGTTTTGGGGGAAAGTCTGATACCAGCAATGTCCAGACAAGGTAAGCTACCATTTTCACTGCAGTTTTTCTCTTTTCACCTCCTGTTCGGCCTTCATCAAAACATTTACTGGGAGAACTTAAGAAAGCTCCTTGTAAAGAAATGGGGGAACTTGTAAAAAGTATGTCAACAAATGATAAATCAGAGGTTAGAAAACCTCCGCAGGAGAGCGTTCTCCTACTTTCTATTCTGCTTGACGCATGAACCTCTTTAACTATCTTTCACTATATAAAAAATGCCATTTGTTTCAGAAAATGTAAGCGGAGTCTTCAAAATCTCCAATCTGATGAACTTAGCATTTGTTAGTGTGGTGACAGGGTAACTTATTGCCAAAGTCAGTTTATCTATGTTTTCTTATCCCGTTATGTGCAACTCAACTTCCGGAGCTGTGACTCTCCTATTAACTTGGAAATGTTTCCCAAGGAAGATTTTAATATCATTCCAAAAATTCTCCTAAGTGCAGTTACTACGGCTTCTTATTAACTTGTTTTGCAGAATATGTTTTTAAAAGTTAAATAAATCATTTGTCTTTTCCTTTGTAACTGACACGGGAGGATGTTACAGATATTATATATCCTGGGAGAATGAAACAGTTCAACCCAACATTGATTAATTCAAGTCACAGTCGGCTGACAAAGTTATCTAAATAGGGTGACTTTGCCTTCTCGATTGTGCTTCATACACAGGTAGGGAGCAGCGAGGATAAGATGTTTTCTTATTTTTCTGTGCATTGGTCACATGAGAAGTATCTTGTGGGTTGAGGTGGAGGGGCACATAAATATGTGATGTGTTGTTCCATTTTCCCTGAGAATGTCTCTGTTATCAGTGTTCCCATCTTTCTGAGGCACAATTCCAGGTGCAAAAAACTAGATTGTCACAGAAATCTGCACATTCTTCCAGCAGGCGGAGATTGTATCACAGCTCCACATTCATTCCTTCACGCACACATGCGTGCTCACAGGCAAAGGTTATAAAACCCTGCGGATTTGACAGAGCTTGAGTGGTTTGGGACATTTAGGTGACTTCAGGCTGCAAAATCCACTGGTACAGAAACATTAGCAAGGTTAATTTCTCACCCATTAGGCCTGGGTGAGCAATGTGAGCACTGCCTGGGACCCTGCTCTTGGGCTGAGAGGGCTCTGCCTTCTTGCTACACCAGTTCTTTCTCTGTTTCTGGAATATTTTTTTCCTTCTGTGTCAAATTCTAGTTACATAGAGTGAACTGTTGTGGCTTCCTCTGCCTCATGGTCTCAATGATAAGAAAGCGATTTAGGTAAGAAGGACACTATAGAAAACCAAGAGGTCAGCTTGATCTGCTCCTTGCAAAGTGATCAGAAGATACCATCAGTTGCCTCTCTCCAGCCATAGTTAGTGCGGCGAGTGACCCGCAATGCCAATTCCTTATCTTTCTCTTTCCCAAAGCTTCTGTTCTCCTTTTCCCCTCCACTTCTATCTACACCAGCCCATAGAACATTAAGAGAGGGAGTAGCGGGTTGGACACACAATATTACTGTCTCCTTCCCGGTCCTCTCGGCCCATCCCCAGGCCAGTCAGGGAAGCCCCCACCCTATTTGGAGTGGGGTCTCCGGGGCCCCACCCATGACCTCATCGCAGGCAGCTTGAAAGCTGGGATGGCCAGCGTTTGCATGGCGCCTGAGTGCACCCTGGGGACGGGTGCGGCAGAGAAATGCACAGTGTGGCATGACGTGACTGCTGAGAAGCCGGAGCGCGAACTTCCTCACCGGCTCC